AACAGATTCCAAGCCCAATTCCCCTGTCCGTCACTCACTTTTTTTGCTGAGTCAGACAGATTCCTAACTTGCATTTGCAGAATTTCTACCCCTGGATCTGCTTCACACCCACCCTGGGCTCACCTTTGTAGAGCCTCTTGCGGTGCTTCAATCAACCAACCCCCAGAAACAATTCCCTGGCTGAATTAAAATTTCCCCAAGTGTATCTTCAAATGGATTCAGGATCGGAGAGGAAAAGGAAAGCATCAGAAAGTGCAAGCCTGCCAAGTGGCAGGAGTGCGCTGCAAGAGATTGACTGCCTCCCCTCACATCCTTCCAATCCAAATCATGGCACCAATTATTGTGGCCAAAGCCTGGCTCACCTAAAGCAACCAAACCACTTTGAAGATACAACATAAATGTATTAAGCATGCAAACAAAAACAGTGTACACCAGGCTGCTAGCAAAGCTTTGGCAATTTGCTGAGCAGCCCTGAGCAAAAGCAGAACCACAGTTATATACCCTTGGCCTACTACATTTCAAGGACAAGACAAAGGAAAAGGCAGACACAGTGGAAATTACAGCATGATGTTGGAATGTTATTGATAAACCCATCTGGGTGACGACCTTATAATTTAGCCCTTCCTACAAGGTCAAGATGCTAGCTATACTATCTCCTGATGTAATCAATGAATATAAAAAAATTGGGTTTACTGAATCACTGGTTCCTGACTGATTCTTCCCCTTGTCACCACTCGGTCAATTCATCTTGCTGTGAACGTTTTCTTATAGGGACACTTTAAGTTGTTCACATGTATGGGCGAGGGGCATCTCATAGGTTTGGTAGTGAATGCAGACCACATCTGTATGAAGGGTTTACTACACACTGAATGTATTCATCTGTTTCACATCACAAGATCAAACCATCTTCATTTAGATCTATTAAATCCTTCCTCTTTCTCTTAGTTTCATAGTCACATAACTTATGCACGTCTTTCTTTTTCTTTCTCTCTGATGGACCTATCAGTATTGATGGCCTATTGATTGATGGGCCTATAGGTATATGTATTGATAGTATAGGTATTGACCTCCACCAGCCATCATGGGTTTGATCACTTGAGGCTTTCGCACATGCAGCATTTGTTTTTCATACATTTTGGTCAGTGTGCCACAAGCTCACCCAAAGTGCAGTTTTACTCCAAGCATGTTCATGCTATTCCATCCAAGCTAGGATTTTTAGTCTAGAGTCTGCCTTGCAGGCCAATACTATTACTGATATCCCACCAAGTAGGAGGCACATGCTTTTTAGACCTTGATTTAGAGAGCTATCTGCTCTTTAAGAGAACTTGTATGAGGCCTTCTATAGAGCTGCTTTTCAAATGTGAGCTCTATTTTAAGTATATCAATTTGTAATCCTTGTGTGTTAGAAAGGCAGGGATGTTGACATCTGCATCTATTGTTTGAGACATTAATCAAATCCTGGAAGCAGAGATAATAGAACATAACATTTCTAATACTTCAGATTTGAAGATTCAGATAGCTTTTCTTCAAGTGTCACTGCAATGTTGAGCTAATGGTGGAACATTTCTTTCCACAAATCTAGTGTAGAACAGTAAGTATCATTTGGCAGCCTGATCTGCTTGACCAGATATTATGTTATCATGACTGCCAGATATTCATATAGCCAAGAATGATACATGTAGGTAGTAGCTTTTACAAACAAAGCAGGATAGTGGGTTACAAAATAGAACCTCTACCATTTATCTCAGTTGTAGTTGAAGGCATCTCAAAATAGCACACAAAAATTCATTAGTGGCCTGAAATGAACCGATCTATCTACTTTGCAAAAATGCTACTAAACCTGACTCTATTTTAATATCTTCCTTTTTAAAAATTATAATAGGCCAATCCAAGAGTATTTGTCTACTCTTTGAATGAGATTTACCACTAGAATAAGTGTCACCCTTTTGTTTCCCAACCACTCCACAAACATCTTGAATCTGCTTTAGAAAAGTGAAAAAATTTTGTTCAGAAGCAGAAGTCCACTTGGGTTACAATGGACATTGTTAATTCATTCATATGAAGAATTAATTAACTTTTGAAATTAAGCAACATTTTCATAACTATGCTGAAGTATTTTGTATTTGTTATTCTAAAACAAAAGGCTTTAAAAAAACTTGATAATTGTTTGCCAGTGTTTGATCAAATATCCAACCTTTGCTAGAATCACTTACTCCACATGGTTTTAGAGGAAGAAAGTACTACCTACTTTAGAATGACCTTTCTTCCTGGAACTCTGAGTGTCTCGCAGAGCCTTGCTCTGATTTAAAATTTTCAGCTGTAACCTTTGCCAGATGTTCTGCACTCTGGTCGTTCTCCTGCCAGCTTTCTGTGTATCAAGGAAGAAATGTTATGTAACAAGGAAATTTAATTTTGAAGGGAAAATAAATGGGTTTTCCTTTAATAACATCCATCCAGATGCTGAGTGATTCTTCCCTCTCTAATTTTGCTCATAAAAATGTAGATGTCAGCAACAGGGAACTATCATGTGGAGTTACCATGAGAAGAGTCAAAGTGGAGGCTACTTTTGAGCACAGATTTTTGGTGGAAATGCCTTATTTTTAAGCTGAAACTGAACATAGGATTGCTAATAATTCTGCAACTATCTTGAGGCAGGCTTAAAAAGGAACTATAATAAGAATTCTCTGCCCGCTTGAAGTCTAACAAAATATTATGACACAGCTCTACTTAAAAATACATATTTATTGAAAAATAATAAATAAATAAATAAATAAATAAATAAAATGGGCCTTGTCTACTTTTCCGCATATCTCCAACTATACATAAACATTTTTACTGTAAACTGCCCAGAGTCACTCTGTAGTGAGATGGGCGGTGACAAATTTGAAATATAAATAAGTAAAGAAATCAGTCATTATTTAAACCAAAAGATTACAGGAAAGAAACCACAGTTTTTTGTAAAACACAGAAACAATGAAAAAATGTAAAAGTGCCTTAATGAAAAACAATATTCAGAAGACTGCACATTTGAGACTGTGTATAGGTTTTCTTTGATGTAGTAGTGGGTAGCCAGAAAGTCTTTTAGATTAAGATGATTGCCAGATTGCTGTCTACGTAGGACTTTTGACTGATAAGAGTGATTGATTGATTATGTGCCATCAAGTCAGTGTCCTCTTACAGACCACATAAATAGACCTTCTTCAAGACTAGATAGGACTAGACTACCTAATTTTAACAGTGATCAATTTATGTTAGCTTTCTATTTATAAATTTATAAGTCAGTCCATATCAATATAGTCCAGATGTCTTGGGCTTCTACTTCTACCACCCCAGGCAAAGTGGTTGGAGAATCTTGCTCAAACAGTCTTGGGACCCAGATATATGAAAGAGTGCCTATCAGTCACATTCTTCCCTTCATCCAATTGCTATTAGAAATTTGGTTGCTTTAAATGCAGTGCAGGTCTTTCCAACAGTAGTCACATCGTGCCAATATTTAACAGTACAGCCTTTGAAATGTATGCGTGCAAGCAAAAGTCACACCAGCTGATAGTGATAGGAACAATCTTTGTTCCTAGTGTTTCACTTGCAAATGTAGAAACTAGTGGTGCCACTTTCATTATATCCAAGTATACTACAAAATTTAATTAAACTAAATTCTCTTTTGTCTTTAAAGAAATATTGCCTTCAGTATGGGTAAGAATTTAATGACTATGTATTAGGCCTATGGAGGCAAACTATGCTTGTAAACAATACTGTGCACACATTTATTTCCTCTGTTTCTCATAACCATAATGCGATCAGTGAGGTCTAATTTGTAGATTCCCTTGTAAAATTCAGCATGTGGCTATTATTGGCTCCTAGCAAGTAAGTCATATGACATGCTCACCCCTGGCAAGAACGGTTGGGTTTTCGTGCGGCTTCCAGTAGTAAATGAAACAGGCAGCTTCTGCTTGTGGTAGGCAAATAGTGTGATTAACTCATTTCTGCCAGTTAAACGAATGTGGGTGCCATAAGCCTTGGTGGTCATTAAATGAGTCATAACCAATGTGAATGTGGGACAGTTCTGTAGACTCAAGTCAAGCCAAGCCAAGCCAAGCCAAGCCAAGCCAAAGAGCACAACTGCATTTAGATAGTAAGGCTTTTCCAACAGAGACATCAAGTACTTTTCTGAGTGTTTTCTTGCCAATGCTTTTTGTGCTGTGGGAGGAAAGGGTCACAACCCAAACCTTGCTATAATGAGGATGGAAATTAGATTTTCTTTTTTTAAAAAAAGGCCTCATTGTTTTTTGTTTCCCAGAAAATATCTCAGTCCAAAAATAAAAGATAGTCCAGCTGTTTTTGAGATGAAACATTTTTTCTTAATATTCTACAATACCCCCCAAAGAAAACAGAAAAAAAGAAAGCAGAGAAAGTTTCATGCAAAGACATTCTGTAGAAACAAAGACTAGTTTCTTGTGGACACAAAGAACATTTTTACACTGAGAGAAAATAACTAAAATCAGTTCAAAAATACTTTTGAAGATACTATATGCAAAGTGATTGCATAGTTTTTCAATGAACTATAAACTTGGGATTGAAATAGTTATGTAAGTTTAATTCTTCATAAAAGTAATTATGTATGCGGGTAAAGATTCCGTTAAAGACATTTCAGATGCCTCCCTCTGTGCACTGTTGAGTCATGCTGAAGAACCAGTCAAGAATTCTAATGTTGACTCATCTTCTCTGCTGATTCACAGCTCAAAGATTATATACCATGCAAAGGGCGTGGGGTAGGAGAGGTCAGTGGTGATACTGCCAATATGCAGCTATTTCTAACCAATGTGCAGCTGGACACATGTTCATACATAAAGATGCACTTACAACTTCTATTTCAAGTCTCATATCACAATGGGAGATGAATGCATAATTGTTTCCATTCTCAAGGAGAATGAATAAACAGCCTTAAGTGACCAAGACAGTGGTGCTTCTATTTAATATGTTTTAATTTATTTTTTCCCAAGGGAATTCCTGGGATCCCTGGAGTTCAAGGAATAAAAGGAGAAAAGGTATTTATCAGGATGTAAACTTAACATATAGACATTTCCTTTTTTTTTTTTTTTTTGCTTTAAAATACTACTTCTGCCACCAGGTATTCTGTTATAAATTAAATATTGTAAGGAATAAAAGGAGAAAAGGTATTTATCAGGATGTAAACTTAACATATAGACATTTCCTTTTTTTTTTTTTTTTTGCTTTAAAATACTACTTCTGCCACCAGGTATTCTGTTATAAATTAAATATTGTTTTGTTTGTTCATTTATTTATTGTAGGGTGAAAATGGGCTGCCAGGACAAGAAGGAACAAAAGGATCACCAGGGTTGCCTGTATGTCTTTGTTGTTGCATGCTTTTTGAAGGGGGTATGGCAGAATGCCAGGGGAGATAGGGGTTGTGGGCCCAGGGAAAATTATGCTACCTAGGTCTATTTTATACTGTGACAACTGTAAAAGCCAGAAGTCAATATGACTGAATGAAATGAACTGGAAAATATCTCCACTCCTTTGACAATTGCTGAACTTGAAAAGACAAAAATGCTAGTTTAACAAAAGAGAAGAAAACCAGTGGGTTTACTAGAGCATTACTCCATTAAAACAAGCCCATATTAGAAATTTTAGTGCAGTGCTCCAGATGTGCTGCCCTGAATTATGCATACTGGATGCTGCATGGAAACTGAAGTGAAATGCTTTGTTAAAAGGGGGAAACTATTTGCTGCCTTCGGGATCCTTTCAAAAGTTGTGTGTGAGCTCTTAACAGGACGCATGGCACGCAGTTATTAGGGAGCTTGAAAACTATTGTTCTTTCCACCACATTGAAATGTTTTATTACTAGGAGGCGCCTGTGTTCTGACCTGTTAATAGCTTCCACAAAAGGATTCTCTTTCCAGAATGTATGGTACATTAATTTTGAACAGATGGTGGACGTCACCAATGTAATTTCAAATTGATGGGAATTCTTCATATACACATAGATCCATTTTTAAGAGGGACTGATTTCGGAGGAGGCTTCATTTTTCAGCTGTAGGTTTAATTTGCAAAAGTACTATAAAATAGTTGGGTAGTTCAGTCAATGAAGGAGAAAAAGTGGTATTACTAGTGCTAGAGATAGTGGCAGGTTTCATGCCATGATGAACAGGTGGAAATTGAAAGTGTACTGTGGGCTCACTTGATCCCTTTTCCCCTTGCAAAATATTTCATTATCCCTCTTCTTGATATTTATGGTGGCATAAGATTATATTTGCACTAGCCAGCTTTTCTATTTTGTGGTGACCACCATAAAGATTGATTGGTCATTTCGATTGCCATTTAAGCTTTTTCTCTGCCATTTCAGTAGCAATTTCCACTCATTCTCTGTTTGAACAGAGACTTCTTCCTACAGTCCCCATCTTTTTCTGCCCATTTGAATTTGTATTCCGGTCCATGTGATAAGTCTACCAACTAAGTGATTTTTGCCTTTTTTTAATATTTTCATTAAATCAATGCATATTTTAAAAACAAATCTGTAACTTCAGATTTCAATTTAATTATTGTCACCACTTTAATAATAACAGTCCCCCAGTTTATTGAAGCACAATGCATAAATTTGCTGTATGAATTTTACACTTCTGGAAAAGTTCTCACATCTGAATATGGGCGTGAACGGAACATCCGTATCAAGGCTCTGCCTGATGTTTGTTTGTTTATATTCTGTGTTCATCATTATCTGTGGAAAGGAAAGGTCCTTTCCTAAGGACCACGCCAGTGCATGTAAAATGTTATACCTCCATAAATATCTTAGGGAGGGGAGGGAGAATGTGAGCTAGTGATGTAGTCCTAAACTCTTATTCTTAAACAGGTCGCTATTATTAAATCAAATTTCCACTAAACAAGTCTGGCACCCTGATTTCTCTGTATGATTTTGAGCAAACCTGATGCTTTTGGATCAGAATGTGGAGTAGTGAAGGTGTCTTCCGCTGAAATAAATCAAGATGGATCTTACTAAGCTGGGTTGTGGTTTGGCATGTAAATTCATTAATAAAATGTAAAGCGGGGATAAGTACGTTTATGTAGCCTGCCAAGTGCTCTTCCTGTTAGCATCTACAGTATTGTCACTGTGTTGCAATTTGCATGTGGATGACAATTTTATAGACAGAAATCTGCTTTTGTGGTGTCCAGGACTGTTTTTAGTTATTACATACGTATTCCTAAAATCTTAAAATGGAGCAGGCAATCTTTTAGGCTAGGACACATTTGGGATTTTGAAAGCATGTGGTGGGCACATCCACAAAATGGTTGGTGTAGGAGAGTTGCTTTGCCACATGGTGGATACGGTTTCTGGATATGGTTTCTCCAAGATGGTTGCTGCATGTATAGAAAGAGCAGTTTCAGTTTGAATAATATATTTTCCAGGTCATTTATTATGAATATTTTTCAGTCTCTTCTTCCCCAGTGTGATCAGTTTACTTTCAAATGCATGGAATATTTAAATATTTAGAGTGGCTGAAGAGA